ATGTGGTTCCTGTCGTGTATAGATCCAAATAGAAACTGTAGAAGCAATCTGTTGTTTGCTTAACTCTACAGTGTATACGGCTCTTTATATTGACGGCTATTGTAACCTTCGCAGATATATTCGTGTTACCACATGTTTCTGTCATATTCACGTTCTTCAAAACCAATTACGGAGACTCACATGTATTCTGTGCCAGATACCTAAACAAAAACTCAAAACAACGGGTCATAGCACTCAGTGTTTCATACGCATACTTAAGTACCCTATATACACACTATTCAAACCGTATCCTCGAGCAACCTCCTCGCCAGTGCTTCGCCACGTACTTAGTACTTATGGTCTATACGCACTCTCCGAGACACAGGCTCCAGCAATCTCCGCATAGTATTCAAGCTAGGTGGCAGCGCCAGTAATATATCAGCCACCGAACGGAGTGACGCCGACAGCAGCGATGGCGAAGACAATGACAGTAGTGGGGCCGTGGGCGTATCACGCAAACCCACTATCGAGCACAGGAACGCCGATGACAGCTCATCCAATTGCAATACACACAACAAACCACATACAAACACGGTGATCAAACTCAAGCTGCAGCCGGCCTCGCCCGGAGAGGATGGGACTAGTCGGAAGCGTGCGCGTGCGCAGAGTGAGGAGTCGGTGGGAGGTGGTAAGAAGAGACGGTCTAGAGGCACATCGCCTGCTGTGCCGAATACTGGCCTTACTGTGGGTAGGTTATGCGGGATGTTAGTAGTCGTGGGTGGCCTGGAAGGTTGAGAGTTGGCACTCCTTTATTGGGTTGGTTAAAGGGTGTATGATATTGTGCGTAGGTTTGTTGTTCCCCGAGGTTTAGAAATAGGGGCGTAGTCATTTCTGAGTACTGAAGTATGTGTTCGAATATAGCGTTGGTATGTTTTGTTATGCATAGTATCGAAGCTCATATAATTGTACTCGAAGTAATATGTATGTGAAGATAGTGTTTGTATGTTTTGGAAGGCATAAGCATCGAAGTTCATATAATCTTACCCGAAGTGATATGTGTGCGAGTATAGCGTTGGTACGTTTCGATAAGCATGCGGATCGAAGTTCATGTAAGCTTATTCAAAGCGATATGTGTGTGAGTATAGCGTTGGTACGGTTTGAAAAGCATGTGCATCGAAGTTCATGTAGTCTTACCAAAAGTGATATGTATGCGAATATAGCGTTGGTACGTTTTGATGAGCATACTCATCCAATATGTAATATATATATATATATATGTATATATATCTATCTATCTATCTATATACATATATTTATATATTTATATATTTATATATACATAT